GGCTTCTTTCTTAACTAAAATTGTTTGTACACATGTTCTCTGCCATTGCTTTCGTGTGTTGCGTTACATTACAGTCTAATGTATTCTGATAAATGTATTTATATCTTGTATATATAGTAAAAGACATAAAAATTTGCATTTTGAAATTTTTCATCGCTTTATGTTAAAAGTCAAAACAATTCAATATTCATGTAAGAATAATTTGAATGTTTTTTAGTTAAAAAATGCAAAATAACTTCACACAGCTACTGTCAATACAGTAATTTTTGTTTGCACACGTCTTTATAATATATATGGATGTATAAAAAGTTCGTGTCACGTTGTTTGCCCGCGATGGACTCTTAAGCTACTGAACCGATTTTAGTAAAATTTAGCACATTGTGTCAAGTTCGAACCAACTTAGAAACCAACATAATTAAAGAATACAGTGAAAGCTTTCTTAAATGGACGCTCTATTAAGCGGGCATCTTCATTAACCATGCACATTGTTAATGTTTATTTAGTACAATCCATCTATTATGCAGACAACTCTATTAACGGGACAGAAACGCTGGTAGCCAGACATTGAGGAAGCAGCCTTAAATTTGTTATTTTCCAATGACATTTATTTATATGAACATATTCAAAATTAAATCTTAAATAATATTTTCACCGTATTGAATAGTTATTATATGAATAATAGTATAAAATGTACACCACAAAAACGCGTGGCCGGATCCCCTAGTATGAATATAGATTAAACTGATTATTTTTAGAGAACAAGGTGTTTTTTTTTTTTTTTTTTGAAAAATCTTGTGGAATCGGCATCAGAACAGAAAATCGCATTGGCAGATGCATCTCCACGCAGATATTCATAACGAACCAAACAGAAACTTCTAATAAAAAATGGTAGAACTCTGCAGTACAAAATTCAATCATTAATTAAAATGAGTGCATGATATAATTGACAACAATTTTATTTTTCACTTGTCCTTTCCTTTTTTTTCCTTTCGTTCTTAGACTCCTCTAAGAAAGCTTCTCTAAGTATGGTACTCCGAATTACAGCTTTCTCTTTTTTTCGTATTATCAGAGAGAAAAATTCAAATATCTCTTTCAACTTACTAATAACTCGCATAAGAGACCATTTTTGTAGAGCATTTAATTCCTGCAAAACTATGAGTTTTCGGATATGTAATTTTTTTTTCAGTTAGTTACAAAATACATAAGGAGGGTGCAACCGAACACTTTATACTCTGGCATCTTGCAAGAATGAAAGCCAGGTAAATACTTTAAGGTGTATATATTAGTTATATAGGGGCCAGGCCAAGATTTTGCTCATTCTTATAATGTTACCTATTTACAGCGCAAAGAGGCACTTTCATGATGTTAAACATACTCTCTTATTGTAGTACAAAGTCACCCGGAAGTTCGAAAATCTTGGTCCGATTCAATCCATTTTTGATATACAAACAAACCATTCTAAGAGAAAGATTATCCCTTCCTTTCATTGATATACATCACACTTTAACATTTTCTATTAAATTTTCTTCTATAACTACCGGGGTCTAAATATTCGGTACCTAGGGGCTTGAGCAGTTTTTATTGGATTTAAACAATTGTTGGTCATATACACACTAAAGACATTATTTGTTTTATCCCGTTATATTAATTTCTTCTTGATTTTAGGCGTGGTTGTTATTCGATTTCGTCCATTTTCACACTAGTATGTCCCACGTACTAATACAAAAAAAATGCTACGTACTCGTACTAAATTTTTTCGCAATTGGTTTGGTCGGGTCCCGAGATATGAGATCCCATCGTCCAATTTTTAACTCGGTTCCCGTAAGTCTATCTCATACCATCTCTGTGGTAAAATTTAATGCCTCTGGCGTATTTAGTTATTGATTAATCGTGCTTTTAGTAGTTTTTAACAGTACCGTTTTCTGAGGAGAGACCGGAATTCTCCCCCGATTTCATCCATTTTCACACTGTCTATAGAAGTTCTTATAAAAAAAAAGAAATAATTGATTAAAGCGAAATTTCTAGGGTTTATAGTTATATATTTAAATATCATTCAACAATTTTTTTAATACCAAATCTTTGATAGTCTGCCTTTGGGAAGCAATTGTCCGATGCATCTCGTATGTGCATTTGTCGGACGACGGTCAGGATGCAGGTAGCAATTTCTATCGGAAACAAAAAATTCAAAGAGATTCATATTTATAATAATTTTTCTTGTGAAACTAAAAAAATTCAAAAAAGAATGAAAAATTGTACAAATTTTTAAAACTTAAAAAAAGTGGTTTTTAACTAAAAAAATTACTTTATGTTGTTTAAAAACATGTTCAAACTTGACTTACCTTAGTTTTTTTTTAGCTTAAATATAAGATAATTTAATTCCAAAGATAATAAACTCTGCCCCTATTCCATATGACGTTTGGTTTTTTTTCTATCCTGCGCGCCATTTAAGGAAAATCGTAAAAACTAATAAGTGAGAAATCGCGCGTCAAAGTTTACGTTTTCTGCCTAAGCGCTAATATATCTGCTTGACGCTCGGTCACTATTTCCCTTCTAGCTTTGAAAATATTTCGAATTCCCATCTATAACTTTGGGACATATTCTTAGACATTTTTTAAGGAGATTTAAGCAAAAACAAAAATCGATTTTGAAAGCTTCTAAAGCAGGCTTCCCCCCGCGCGTCAAAGTTTACGTTTTCTGCCTAAGCGCTAATATATCTGCTTGACGCTCGGTCACTATTTCCCTTCTAGCTTTGAAAATATTTCGAATTCCCATCTATAACTTTGGGACATATTCTTAGACATTTTTTAAGGAGATTTAAGCAAAAACAAAAATCGATTTCGAAAGCTTCTAAAGCAGGCTTCCCCCTTAATTTAGTGCTTAGTTATCGCACTTTATATGTTTTCGGTTAATATCGATTTGCGGGCGTGGCGGGCGATTACGCCCATCTAGGAAATTGAAATTTTTTTTTGTAAGGAACTCACATACCAAGTTCCATAGAGATATCTCAATTTTTTACTCAAGTTACAGCTTGCACGAATGGACGGACACACAGACAGACAACCGTTTTTCAACTTTTCTCGTCATCCTGATCATTTGTATATATATAACTCTATATCTATTTATCGTTAGGTGAACAAAACTATAATACTCTGTACCGTTTTGCACAGTCCAAACAACAAAAAAAGAGTGTCGAACGAGTGTTTTAGCTCGTTGGCCGTTAGACGTCTGCATAACGCTTTCGTTTCATGGGCAAATATATTTTTCCGAAAAGGAAGAAGTCGCACGGTGCCACATCAGGTGATTACGGGGAGTGGTTAACGGTTAAAATATGAATTTTGGTCAAATAATCGATCACAATGTTGTCCTTCAAATGTTGGATTCTGAGCAATTTTTCCTCGTCAGTCAATTTGTGCGGAACAAAGCATGCACACACCTTTCGATGTTTTGAAGATGTTGAACTCCATTTTCTTGAATTTCAATGATGATTTTCGGTAATTTTTGATTAATTCACGCACAGTTTCGATGGAATTTTCGTTGATCACGGATTTTTATTGGCCCACATGGTAATCGTCATTTATGTCCCCACGACCACTTTAAAAAATTGAAACCACTCTCTTCTACGGGACAGGCAATCATCGCCATAAATAATAAAAGTTTGATCAATTGAAACGTTTCGGTAAAAGGTTTACCAAATTTAAAACAAATTTTAATGTTGGCTCTTTGTTCGAAGCTCATTATCGCACCGATAACACAAACATACTGACACTTAAAACGAAATAACTTCACTTCCAATCAATGAAATGTCATGAAATTCTCACTGAACAATCGGTAAAGATGACAGCTTCTAACACACGAGTTGACATATAGATGGCCAATAGGCCCACTAGGGGGCGCTAGATTCAAAGTCTTGTCTACTTTGGAGCTACCTTGTATATCTTCTTTGATTTATATTCTGCTCTCGCAACATGCTGCTGCAGAAAATAATACACATGATTTCTTATGCAAAGTGATTCTTTTTATTTCGGTCACTGTGCGAATTATCTTCATATAATGATATGGGCACATATTCTTGGGTATACTTAAGTAACGCCAAAAGTTAAAGAAGTTAGTCCGTTAAGGTTTGTAAAAAAATTATTTAACTAGTTACTAAGTAAACTATTAATATCAAGAAAATAGGCACGGTACATAAACTTGCCTAAGCATATGTATATTACTCTAATATATACTCTACAAAAGTTTTATATCTGCACTGTAATGAATTGTATGAATTGGAAACAATATACGCCTTCACATATTTTTATGTTATTAAATTCTTCAGACCTCACTTAGTTTGAGATATGTGGGCAACAAAAATGCTTGAGGAACATTTTAGTTTACGAGCGATTTTATAATAGGTCAATTGGAAAGTCCCCGGCCTACCCTAGTAACACATATTTTTTGGCAAAATTCGATTTTTTAATCAACAAAGTTCCTTTCCTGGGGTACCATTTTTGTAGTACGATTTGTTCTTTGTTTCAAAATACTCCTCAGTTTCGGCTATTACCTCTCATTCAACGAAATTTACTTCTTCGAGCATTAGTCTTATATCTGAGAGCAGGAAATAGTCACTGTAGGCTAGATCTGAAAAGTGCGGTGGGTACGGAACTAATTCGAAGTGCGATTCATGGATCTTTGCCATCGTTTTCACTGACTTGTGACGCAGTGTATTATCTTGGTGAAACAACACTTTTCTTTTCTTCAAATGAGATCATTTTTCGGTGATTTAGTCCTTCAAACGATTAAGTAACGCGGATGACTGTCGATTGGATTTCGATGTGAAATGATCGAGCCATTTTTCATGCATTTCCCACATCGACGCAAACACTCAGGCCTGTTATTGTTTTGTTTTAATTAGAAGAAATGGTATTCTGTTTTTGCATATATTTATTTGTTTTAATAACAACAATTATTTGCATTGCAGAAATTACAATGTTATATAATTATGATTCCAACTATTACAGGATCCATTACTAAGCACATCATGGACTTACAAGCATCACAAGTAAATGATAATACCAGTTCATTATCACAAGTGATATCTAACAGTAATACTATTGGATCCAATCACAGTCATCACTCAAGCTCACTTAATCTGCAGCATTTACACCAACCAACTTCACATAGTACATCCGCACTTCACCTAGATTCTTCACCTGCTGGGACCTTATCAGCAACATCAGCCCAACACTTAGCTCAAATACAATCGCATCTGCACGAAAATCCATACTCGCAAGCCATTCAAAGTGATAATAGGAAAAATAAAGGTAAATGTGTAAATTTTATAAGGAAATTTATGAAGAGCAATGCAGAACTATTAAGACTATATTTAGAAATTATATTTCTTGCCATTTGAAATATTTATACAGCAGCCATCCGTCAGTTGAATATGTAATCGTTTCATTGAATAAATCTTGATTATCTTACATAGTTAACGACTTAGTAACTGCTTAACTATTTATAATATTTTAATATTTTGAAGAGCTATTTAACTGAACTCATGCTTCCGTTGATGTGTAAATAAGGCTTCACCATTAATAGATTTTGAATGTTTCGCTCATTAAATTGAGGTATAGACTCAAAAATATCTACCTACATAAGTATAATACATATCTATACCCAGCATCTATATATTAAATACAATTTCCACTATGCTAAACATCTTAACGAATTTTAATGATATGAGCATTGTTGAGTGTTGTTGTTGTAACGGCAGAATTCTGCCGAGTTGACAGTCCTTGGCCGGATAAAAATCCGGGTCCGTTCTGGTTTTCGTAGACCCGACTGTCGTGGGAACGGGGGGGGAGGCAGTGCTTTTGTTTGCTGATTTAATATTTTTCTTTGAAAATTTTGTCTAATATACGTCAAAAGTTGTACAATAATATTTCATTAAATTTAATAAAATTATATTACTCATGTCGGCGCAATCCGCCAACGATTAGTTAAGAAGTACTTTCAACATTAAATACTATAGATTATGTTTTAACTATTTATGTATATACGTCCAATATTTACATGTAAGATACCTCTCTATAAAATGAAGTCAAAATATTAACATCAATGTAGTAAAATGTAGCAATCATTCATAATTCTAAATATTTTCTTTCAAGTACACAATTTAAATAATTACAATGGCAGTAACAGGTGTGATGAAGATTTGGGGACTAGTTCTTTAAAAACAAATAATCCTATAAGCGCTGAATCTTCAACAAATTCAACAGTAAACTTCATGCAACAAACCGCGGTAGAATGGTTAAACGCAATGAATGAAGCTCAAACGTCTGTCGGTGAGTACAAGCATTGTTTTCATATCAATATAGAGCTATACCTATAAAAATCCAAACATCAAAATGGTTAGAATGTTTACGGGAGAACTATTTTAAGTTGAGAATTACATTGCTGCAGTATATATTATACTTCTCAGAACAGTAGTAAAGAAAAATGGGATTTTCTATGGGCGTTAAATTGGTATTCTTAGCAGTGAACATATATTATTACATATATTATATATATATGTTGCCTCTATTATAGATTTAATCCAAGTGAAATTCTTACATTTTTTTAATAAAGCAAATGAAATAAATATAAATTGTGCTCTATTTCACTTGTCTTCATAGAAGTACACTTCATATAAACAATATATTTTACTTAGAAGAGCACAAATCTGTTTCTTCTTCCATTTATTGATTATACGTTAAAAAAAAAAAAATTGTTACGTATTAAATATATTGACTTCTGTTATTGATAAGCTCTAGGTAGGAATTTAAAAACTACTAGTGAGTTGAGAATTTCGAGAATGCTAGAACGATTTGATTGAGAGAATGACACGTCTTATTAAATGAATATAGATAAAATTAAAATCATAACAGCCTGCAACTATTATTTGTTATATTATATATAAAGCGAAACTACTCTTATATATATTTTCAGAAGACAATCATAGTTCACAAGGAAGCTTATCTGGTGATGGTAAGTTGAAAATAATAAATAATTTTAAACTATAGGAGGTTTATATACAAACCCGTTTCAACTTTGAAATACTACAGCGAGTTCCGATGAGAGTAATCTTTTACGAATCTCTTTAATTCATCCATCCAATCACAAATTAAAAGAATGGTCGACTTTCAAAAAGCCGACACAAAGCACAAAAAGCTTTATAAATTTTTTTTTATGATATGGCATACGCATTTAATAGAGATGTCCATAATTTGAAGTATTTGTATTTCATATTAAGATCACCCAACACAATTTCATGAATTTTATTGATTTTTTCTGACTTAACCGTCTGTTATGCTTTTGTGATCAATAACTTGAGAATGATTTGCCGAAATGTCACAACGCTTCTAGTTAAAAGCCTAAATCCTTATCAGCCTATACATATGGTATATGCAAAGTGGCGTAAAAATAACCTTACGATGTTTTTTGTCTGCAATTTTTAACAGCTAATACCCTTTTGCGTGGCACGTCGTATGGTCGATGTCGACGACGCTTCCATGACATCCTCGGCAACAGCAGCAATATTCTCGGCAGAACGGCTACTTTGTGGTCTGCTACGCCTGGCAGCATCTTGTGTTGTGCCAGTCTCTTCGAGGCGAGCGGCGAAACGTCGCAGTGTTCACCAGTAGGCGTCGGACGGCTAGGAAATTTGCGACGAAATTCACGTTGTGCCAAAGTCACCGACGGATTATTGGTCAAATAAATAGTCACCGATAACCCGCGTTCTGGAGCAATGTGACGTACCATTGTTTATTTACGTATATTTCGCATGTGTTTACTACACACAAGTCAAAACAGAACTGATATTAGAGGTCAATGGCAAAATTTATAGCATCTTCTGATAGAGGGATTACTTTTGCGACACCCTGTATAATGCTAGAATGCAAAAAAAGAATAAATTAGCAAAAACAACCTATTCGTAATAACTTCTGGATTCATTCAAATTCAAAGAGATTCACATTTTTTAATAACTTATCTTTTAGTTAAATTAAAAAAATCAAAAAAAAAAGTTTAAATAGAAGATAATTTAATGGCAAAGATAATAAACTTCACCTCAATTCGATACGACGTTTAATTCTTTTCTATCCTGCCCGCCTTAAGCAAGATCGTAAAAATGAACAACCGAGAAATCGCGCTTCAAAATTTTCTCATTCTGCCCAATCGCTCATATATCTGCTAGGCTTTCGGTCACTTTTTAACTTCTAGCTTCGAAAATATTTCACATTTCCATCTATAACTTTGGGCACATATTCTTAGATTATTTTTAAAGAGATTTAAGCAAGACAAAAAAACTGATTTTTTAAGCTACTATAGCAGGCTCCCCCCTTAATGGATGCCATGGAAAAGCAATTAACTCAGCGGCTTAAAAATATTTATTACTCACTGATTATCTTGTTTGTTGTATCCTCGCCAATTCACATATTTCAACGTAAGCCTTATCATAAAGTATTGTATAAAGTCGTTTTTTTGGAATGCGATTCGATTTTTTTTCGTACATTATATTTATTAGTGTTTTCGGTTTACAATATTTGTAATAAATCCATCCGAGTTTAAGACCTTCCATATTTTTCTAAAATCGACTCACATACCAGTTAGCAAAATATTTCGATTTAATTGGTGGAATTATATTAAATTTTAATATTTCACATATTTATTTGAAATGAGGCATGAACATATCATTGGAAGCCATACAATAGTGTTTTAAGTCCTCCTTTAAAGTTGGGTCAAATTGAAAACAGTGTTCTAAATTTAAAAAAAGCCGGTAGTTTAGCAAAATCAGTAGCGTCAGTTGCATTTTGTCATCCTACGTTTTACGTAACAGTCCAAGAGAATAAGGCATACAGTATTCATATTCTTATCCCCACAAATTTTACAGGAAAATATCTTCAGCACACCTTGGCTTTACATAGTTTAACGGCTCTCTTGAACATAGTATATATATTATTTACCTTAGCCTTCATTGATTTACAATGGATATCCTCAGCGCGTTCAGAAGTAAATAAGTAAAAATAAAATCATTTGACAATTTTTGAATTAATCTGAAAATATATTTTAATTGTAACAATAAGTTTACTGCACAGCGTAGATAATTAATTTCTATATTTTAGTCAGAAAATTATTTATTTTTATTTTATTTTTTTATGTCTCGGGTGTTAATATCCTAGTAAAGCATTAACTAACTTCGCTCCCAGCATTAATTTTCAGCATCTCTGCTAGGGGTGTCTACGCCAATAAAGAAGAAGGTAGTGCCAAAACATTGTAAAGAACTAAAACAAATAAACCAAACATCATTATTGGTAATATTTATCACTTTGCTTAGAATACAAATAGCAACTTATATACATACATATGTATATGTACATTTCATTATCGTCTCGTCGTCCATATCTTGAAGGAAAATTCGAGAGTAAGAAATGTTTGGTTACACCCGAACATATCCGTTTCTTAGTTGTGTATAAACACTTATTAAAATTTAGAATACAATATTTTGCCCCTTACACAAATACCAAAACCCTCAGATTTAATATCACTTGACAAATCACTTATAACTTATGTTTTGACTTCTAGTTCTTACACCCATTGGGAATTATTCTAATTATGATTATGACGGACTGTTTCATTTTCACTCTCCGACAAACGCGAAGCAGAACAAGTAAGGGGGTATTTAGTTCGGTGGTAACCAAATATTTTACATCCCCTCAAATCATTTTGATTTTATAATATATTTTCAAAATCGGCTAGATCGGACAACTAAATCACAAATCTCCCATACAACCGATTATTTAGATTTTTTAATCTTCACCTTAAAAACAGCCAGCTCGAAACCGGTTTTACGACCCACAGTCTCTTAAGTGAAGTTCTTCAGAAAGATAAACAAATTTTGCCTGCTCTGATGTACAGTACACAGTACTATATATTGTATAAGGGCTGGGACGCGACAAATCTGAATAACGATCACCCGTATTTAAACTCGTCTCATACTGATCATGTATATGAAACTATATATCTCGACATCTATATCGATTAGAGTAGATGTAACAAATAACTGTTACGTGAACACAAGTAATATTCTCAAGATGTTGCCAGATAATAAAACCGCTGCCGTTTGTCCTTACATAAACTCAAAAATAAGAATAATAACATAAGTGAATGCATCAAGTAAGGGGAAGCTAATTTTTGTAAGAGCCGAATATAAATAATGTCGCAGATTAATAGATTATAAAATGTTAACTGTGTGCTCTAAGTGCTTTATTTCAAAAAATAAGTCGACTGAAGTAAATATATTTGTTATCTAAGTGTTAGGCGAAGTGTTAGCCAATTATTTGATTTATCAGTTTCATAATCTGTCTGACAAATTTATTGTTATGTTAGTAGGAGAATCAGAAATCATTATATTTGATACCTATGTATTTAGGTCTAAATAAAGAAAGTCCCTTGCCTTGTTCCATAGTATCATAATAAAGTTGTGTTTCAATTGATGATTTCATTATCTATTAAAAACAAATGTATTCAAGGAGGATTGAAATTGGCCTTATATGTGAAGCCTTGTCAAATTTTGTAATTTTTTTCTAAAATGTTTAAAGGAAAAATTATGCATCGAATTGTAGACAGGAACATTCATGAAAAGAAAAGCGGTGCCGCGGCATTCGTTTATCGCTTTTGTTTCTTGCGGTATTGTTGAGAGATTTTTCACTTTTTTTAACATTTTAAGATATGGGGTAACAATTTTATGTTGATTAAATCATTATAGAATTTTTTATTTTTGGTTATTTAGTATTAATTTGTACCCAGAATATTAGAGCAATAAAGCACATTAGAAGAATCCATCCAGAAAAGAAGACAACAACTATTATACTATGCCCTTGGGCGGCATGTTGTGAGAGTGTAAAAATGAACAACACTTAATCGACGAATGCAAAAATATTATTACCTACTCTTCTTTGTCCTCTTAGAACCACAATGATTTCATTAATAGTAGTGCTAACATATAAACGGGGGTTGCAAAAGCTCTCAATTAAAAATATGTTGGATGTTTTCTCCATCTAAAAATTACTTCAAATACCACCCGGAATTCTCATTCATTTTTCTGCAATGTGGTAAATGTTAAGTATGCTTGAGAAAGATATCCAATAATGCAGAAAACCACTCATACCCTCCACTTTTTCACACCCGATGTCACAAATATCAAAACAAGGTACATACAAATTTCTCTTTTTTGTATTTCATTTCACTAAAATTGGATTTTCTTTCCGCCACCAAATCTAGTACGCTGTTTTATATCAAAGGCTGTTACTTTTTATTCGTAAAAAAGATAATGATTAATATCCATTGAACTAATATTTTATATTAAAGGAATATATACGTACAAGTTTTGAATAAAAATGAAAATTAAGGTAAATGCATTAATTACTTTAATTTTAAAATAAAACTTTTTTCAGCTGTCTAAATAGTTACAGTTGTTTATTATCTTAAACTCAAATTCTAATATGAGCTTCCAAAATAATTCAAAATTAACAATTTTTTGAATTTCAGCCGCGCATTAAGTTTTATTGGATAAACATTGCTTCATTTCTAAATTCAAGTCTTTGGTCTGAAAATTTTAATTCATTCATACAAATGTGGCTGTCACTATACAAAACTAATTTTTTGTGCAAATAAGTAAGGCAGTTCGTGTGTAACCGAACATATTATACTTGCAATTTGCGGCGGAGAAATACTTTTAAGAACAGCTTCATATTAGGAGATGGGGTTTGGCATATATGTACATACATATGTGGCATATCCAATAATATGCGTTCAGTTAGTTTTGATAAAACATTATATCATATATATTGGCTGATATATTTCTTATAAACTTAACCGGAAATCTGAAATTTGTATATTCGGTCAATGAAGTGCTTTCAGATTTCTTGAATGTTGACCGGTACACATGTATATTGTATAAAGCCGACCGGAAGTTGGAAAATCTTATA